TTGTGTTCTGTTTCTACTAGCAGAGACAGCTTTGCCCTTCATTAAGTCCTTCCATTGGATCCAGATAGAATTTGATGACATCATCCATATTTTTATTTTTTTGTTTTATTAATTTCTGTTATCTTTAGTATATATATTTTTAGAATTATTTAATTTTATTTATTATGATGGTTATTATTTAATTTGACCAGGGAGAGACAAAGAGAGAGAGATGGAAAATGAGGAAGCAAGTTGCCAGGTCTAAGACTCAAACCATGGTCAGCCATGTAGGAGTCCAGTGCCTTAACAACCACACCACCTGCTAGAACCCTTTATTATATCTTTACTCTTATTTTATATAAAGATATTTTTTTCTCCACCAATATTTAATGGAATATGAATGTAATTTATTTTTAATCTTTCTCAGTAGGTAAATTCATTGAAGGCTAAAATACTGCTTTAGAAACATCTTGAATTTTGGCATATAGCACTTTTATTATAGTATATTTAATTAAAAATTTTCTTTATTTTCACTTCCTCTGACTACTAGATTATTATTTTTATGTTATGGATATGTGATGAACATTCTTTTATATTTCCTGGAATTTTCTCTGTTGCCTGCCTGGTATTTTAAATTTTTTTTGATAGTTCTATTTGTGCTTGAAAACAATGCATTTTTTTCTATTTTCTACTCATTATGTCCAGGATTCTACATATAGTATGTGTTTTATTTTAATTTAAAAAAATAATTATTTATTTAATTTTATTTGCTATTATTATTATTATTAATTTGACCAGACAGAGAGAGAGAGAGAGATAAAGGGAATGTAAGAAAGCAAGCCACCAGGTCTGGGACTCGAACCATAGCTGACCATGTGGGGGTCCAGCACCCTAACCACCACACCACCTGCCAGCCCCATTTAGTATGTGTTTTAACATAGTTCTTTAATTATGTTGTCCAAATATTTTATAAATCCTTAATCCTGTTTTTGTCTGTCTGATATATCATCTTTGAGAAAGATATATGAAAATTTCCCTCTATGATTGTAGATTTGTCAATTCCTCCTTGTCATACGCTCATTTTTATCTTATATATTTTGAGATTTTGTTGCTAAATACTTATGAATAAATGTTAATTTTATTTTCTTATTGAATGTTTTTAAAATTTTTTTAAAGAATTATTTTATTTAAGTTTATTTATTTAATTTATTTATTTTAGTTTGACCAGAGAGGAACAGAGCCAGAGAAAGAGTGGGGGAAAGTGAGAAAGAGAGAGAGGGGGAAAGTGAGAAAGAAAGCTGCCAGGTCCGGGAATCAAACCACTGTTGGCCATGTGGGAGTCCAGTGCCCTTAACCACCACGCCACCTGCTAGCCCCAAGTGCTTTTTTAATCTTATGTATGTGTGTTTCTATTAATGCCTCTTCACTTAAAGCTCTGATTTGAATATTGTGATACGAGTTGTCTTTTTATCCATATTTACCTGATTGATATTTGTCTATTACTGTGTCATTATGTTTCAAATGTAGCTCTTCACATTAAAAAAAAAAAAGCTGGATGTTACTCTTTTTAAGAAAAATCTACTTTGAGGCACTTTTAACCTTTTGTATTTATTATGATTACTAATGTATTAATGCTTATTTACACTATTGATTTTATGTAATTTACTCTTTTCTTGGTTTATATTGCATTGACCAAATCTTATTTAATCCACTTCCTCTCAAACAATTTGTAATAGTATTTGATCTTTGTTTCTCATAGCAATTGCTTTTTATGTTTCTGACATGTGTATAAGGAGTCTTCAAAAAGCTCATGGAAAATGTGTATTATGAAAAAACTATGCTTTGATGTAAAAAATATTTGCATCAAAATAAAAATGTGTTTTAATCTATTTTTCCACATGCTTTTGAGGTTGCCTTGTATGTGTACATGTGAAGTTCAGTTAGATTTACCAACATCCTCACCAGCATTTTTTCCTCACCGTTATTTATTGTCTCCATTTTTCTAGGTATACCATTATTCTTGCTGAATAATGTTATTTAGTAAATTTTTCAGTCTGGGACTAGTGAATTCTCTTATTTTTCTATTTTATTTTATAATTTTTTATTTGCATCTAATTGTACATCTTTGTGTGGTCTGAGTTTTCTAAGCATGCATTTAGTCTGTGATAATCAAATCAAGGATAATACCATATTCATTGGTTTCTACAAAGAGCACTACATTATGATATATACTGTTACTTTTTCCCTACTAGTCTTTCTTTTTTTAACTTTTCAGCAATAGAAACTATCTTATGTGTTTTATTCTTTTTTTTAGCACATTAGTTTTCTTTATTTACATTTTATCATAAATCTTTATAATACACAATATGATTTTTCAAAGTATGAATGTAGTATGACACTCAAATCAAAGATATTACCATATACATCATTTTCAATAGGAAATTTAACATTCTCTTATCTGTTAAATGTTTTTTTCCCGTTGCCCCTCCCACTCACCCTCTACACCCCACCCCACTCTCTTAGTTTCTGGTATCTAAATTTATCCTCTCTTTTATCATATCTTTGGCTCTTTCAATTTCTGCCACAGAGTGCAGACATTTGTTACACACTGAGCAGGGATATACAGTGTGTGTCTTTCAAAGTCTGGCTCAATTAGCTTGACATTAAGTCTTCTATATTTATCTACTTTGAATCATATGACAGACTCTTATTGTTTCTTATGGCTGAGAAGTATTCCATAGTATTTATGTGCCAAGGTTTTTCAACCCAGTCATCAGTCTTGGACATTTAGTTTGGGTCCATGTTTTAGAAATTATGAGTGGGACCAGCAGTTGGCGTAATGGCTATGTCGCTGGAATCCCATGTAGTCAACGGCGGTTAGACTTCTGGACCCGGTGGCTTAAACTCATGCTGGGCACATGTGCGTGCGTGCCCAAGATCCCGAGAGGAGAATGGAAGAGAGGGGATTGAAGTGTGGCCATCCCCACGGGTGGGGTGATTTCTCGCTTTCTGTTTCTCTGTCTTTCTCTGTCTGGCGAGCACATGCGCCCTATCAAAAACAAAAACAGAAAAAAAAAAACAAAAAACCTCTCCAAAAAAAGAAAAAAAGAGAAATTATGAGTAATGCTGCAGTAAACATGGATGTACACATGTCTTTCTGACTATTTTCCTACATTTTGGGTAAATATCAAGGAGTGGGATTACTGTTTTTTTTTGAGTAACCTCATATTGTTTTCCACAGTGATTGTACCTACTTATATTCCCATCAACAGTGTAAGAGGGTTCCCTTTCACCACAGCCTTGCCAGCATTTGTTATTTTCTTGATCCTAGCCTCCAAACTAGAGTTAAATGGTATCTCATTATAGTTTTAATTTACATTTCCTTTATGTTAAGAGATGTTGAACATTTTTCATATGCTTTTTTTCTATTCATAAATCTTTCTTGGAGAGTTGTCTATTTAACTCACTTGCTCATTTTTATTTTTATTTATTTATTTATTTATTTATTTATTTATTTAT